TTTTTTTTTGAGACTTTGAGAACCTCAGAACATACAACTTGTATTTATTTTAACTAGGCAAATTCTCATTTGTTTACTTGCTTTATAGAGCATAACTGATAGTGGCAATGTGGAAGAAAATCTCTGCATGGTTATAAAAATGAGAATTTAAAAAAAAAATAGTTCAGAGTGTTCTTTGTGCTATGGCTGAAGCTAACTCTTTGGTTCTGATGGAAATTCTGGAAATTCATCACAGTTGATGCTTATGTAGGTGGAGTGGTAATAAACCTGCAGTTTTTAGACTTGCGTGAGTAGGTATGTGTTGATTTAAAAATAAAAGAATGACACTTTTTTTTTTCTTGTAGACAAGAGGGAACTTCTGGAAATTGCGAAAGCCAACGCTGCAAAAGCTCTGGGCACAGATAACATAGTCTTGCCAGCGAGCTTGAAGATCCTTACTCCTTCCAAAGAGATAAAAAATGAAAAACAGGAGCATGAAGATCCTGGAGAGTCAGCTGAGGTAAGTATGAACTGGAGTATTCTCAATGAAAAGGTAAAGACTTCTTAAAACTTGTCATCTGCATGGATGTGTCATAGTCTTTAACTGTGGAGTTTGTGATTATGAATTCAAACCCTTGAACAAAAAAACCTCGGATTTACCAGAATATCTTAAAACTGTTTCAGAAACCACCGTAGACTTTGCGATAAGCTGAAAGTACCACAGACTCCTCAGAGGTGGTTGATCCACTGAGTACCTGCAGGCCTTCCAGCAGTGATAGGTTGGGAAGGAGAGGTGAATTTTCTTTGAGTTGTTTTCCTAATAGGATATTGCCCATTAATGAGACTAATTTACATGTTTCTGGCCTAAAACAAGGAGTCTCCTTCCAAAAACCAGTAAATACTGCGGGTTGTTTTTTTAAAGGTTAAATCTTTCTACCCTTTGAACTGTTAAAAGCTTTTCATGTGCAACAAACTGTTTCCCGGAAGTTACATACCCAAGCACACAATGCATTTTACATACTTTATTTCTGTCTTTATAGAAATCATGACTATGGTTCCAGACATGATGAAGAAAATCTGTTGGTAATTAAGGGACTTGTGGGCTGTAGCTGCTGTGAATTTAAGGGAGGGAGAAACTTGAGCAGCTTAAACTGAATTTTAGTTTGACTCTGTTGTTATAGCCTGTTAACCTGGTTCGTGGTAAATACAAAGCTGCAATAACTGTTACATTGATCAGATACTGCTATTTCAAATGGAAATAAATTTACTAAGGGTTTTAGACAAATGGTACAGGCATCCCTTTCATAATATATGCAATATATTCCAGATGTTGAGAGAGTACAGAAGAAGAGGCCTGCATCACTTGCAGATAAGTTTATTGTCGTTATCCAAAGCTCTGCAGGATGGATATGCAGAACTTCATGTGTCCTACTTTACCATGACACCTCATCCCATGGCAGTCCGTGCTCCCAATTGTTTGAATCCTTCTTAAAACTCTTAACTGGGGCACAGATATCAGGTCACGTGTGAATTGGCACAATGACATTGGTAAAAAATACCAAATGGTTTTCAAATTGAGTTCAGCATCGATCTGTTTGCGTATTTAGTAGCTTACAGCTACTTTTGATGTAAATACCTGAATCGGCTCTACCTGAAAGTTCATTTTCTGTAGTAACTGCCTTAAATTGCACGGAATAACGTATCCTCCCACTGAAGCTGTGTGTGCTCTTCTCTAGCAACCCAGAAGACTTGCAGAAGACGTGACCAAAAGTGGGATGGAGAGAGCAACCATACAGAGGAGCATTTCTTTCAGTCCTAATGTAAGTGTGATT